AAGAAGAATGCAGCCCTTGACAACGTCAATCTTTCCTCCATTGATAAGAATGTTGTTTACTGGTCCAGTGGTGAGGATTTTTGTTTTCTTTACATTGAGATGCAATCCATACTGAAGGCTGTGTTCTTTGGTCTTCAGTAAATATTTTAAGTCCTCTTCGCTTTCAGCAAGCAAGGTTGTATCATGTGCATATCGCAGGTTGTTACTGAGTCTTCCTCCAATCATGATGCCATGTTTTCCTTCATATAACCCTGCTTCTTGGATTATTTGCTCAGCATACAGGTTGAATAAGTATGGTGAAAGAATGCAGCCCTGTCGCATACCTTTCTTAATTTTAAATCATTCAGTGTTCCCATGTTCTGTTCAAACAACTGCCTCTTGGTCCAGATACAGATTCGTCATGAGCACAATTAAGTGTTCCAGAATACTCATACTTCTCAATGTTGTCCATACCTTGTTAAGAGCCACACAATTGAAAGACTTTGCATAGTCAATAAAGCACAGGTAAACATCTTTCTGGAGTTCTCTGCTTTCAGCCAAGATCCATCTGACATCAGAAATTATACCCCTCGTTCCACGTCCTCTTCTGAATCTGGGTTGAACTTCAGGAAGTGCTCTGTCAATGTATGCTTGCAGCTGTTTTTGTATTACCTTTAGTAAAATTTTGCTCACATGGAATATCAGAGATTGTCTGATGATTTCTGCATTCCGTTGGGTCACCTCTCTTTGGAATGGACACAAATATAGATCTCCTCCAATAAGTTGGCCAGATAGTTTTCTTCCAAATTTCTTGGCATAGATGAGTGAGTGCCTCCAGTGATACCTCACTTTCTTGAAAGATTTCAATTTTTATTACATCAATTCCTGGTGCCTTGTTTTTTGCCAATTCCTTCAATGCACCTTTCACTTCCTCCTTCAATATCATTGGCTCTTGATCATATGCTACCTCTTGAAATGGTTGAACATCAACCATTTCCTTTTGGTACAGTGACTCTGTGTATTCTTTCCATCTTCTTTTGATGCTTTCTACATCAATCAATAATTTTCACAGAGAATCCTTCAATAACGAAAATCAAGGCTTGAATTTTTTCTTCAGTTTCTCCAGCTTGAGAAATGCTGAGCGTGTTCTTCCCTTTTGGTTTACTGACTCCAGATCTTTGCACATTTTTGGTAATATTTGACTTTGTCTTCTTGAGCTCGTCTTTGAAATTTTCTGTTCAGCTCTTGTACCTTCTGATTTCTTCCATTTGCTTTAGCATCTCTACGCTGAAGAGCAACTTTCAGTGCCTCTTCTGACATTCATTTTGATCTTTTCCTTCTTTCTTTTCTTCCTAATGACTTTTGCTTTCTTCTTGTATGATGTTCTTGATGTCATTTCACAACTCTTCTAGTCTTTGGTCTTTAGTGGTTAATAGTATCAAATCTGTTCTTCAGATGATTTCTAAATTTACATGGGATATATTCAAGGTCATATTTTGGCTCTCATGGACTTATTTTCATTTTCTTCAGCTTCAGTTTTAATTTGCATATGAGCAATTGATGGTCTGTTCCACAATCTGCCACGGCCTTGTTTTGACTGATGATATAGAGCTTTTCTGTTGTATCTTTCTACAAATGTAGTCAAATTGATTTTTGTGTATTCGATCTGGTAAGGTCCATGTGTATAATCATCTCTTATGCTGTATAAAGAAGGTATTTGCAATGAACAAGTCATTGATTTTGCAGAATTCTATCATGCAATCTCCAGCACCATTTCTATCACCAGGCCATATTTTCCAACACTAATCCTTCCTCTTTGTTCCCAACCTTTGCATTCCAATCACCAGTAATGATTAATACATCTTGATTGTATGTTTGATCAATTTCAGCTTGAAGAAGTTGGTAGAATCCTTCTATTTCATCCTCACTGGCTTTAGTGGTTGATGTGCAATTTGAATAATAGTGTTATTAACTGGTCTTCCCTGTTGTTGTTGTTAAATGCCATCAGGTCAGTTCCGACACATAGCAACCCTGTATAGGGTTTCCAAGGAGCAACTGGTGAGCTTGAACCACTGACCTTGCTGTTCAAACAGTTATGCAGTCTGGTGCATTAACCCACAATGCCACACCAGGACTCCAGTCTTCCCTGTAGGCCTATGGATATTATCCTAGTACCTCATGACTGATCTAGATATGTTCTTTTTGACAGTGAATGCAACACCATTCCTCTTCAATATGTCATTCCAGCTAGTAAACCATGTGGTTGTCAGATTCAAAATGGCCAATACCAGCCCATTTCAGCTCACTAAAGCCTAAGATATTGATGTTTATGTGTTCCATTTCATATTTCACATTTTCTAATTTTCCCAGATTCACACTTTGTACATTTCGTGTTCCAATTATTAATGGATGTTTACAACTGCCACTCTTCATTTTGAGTTGTGCCCCATCAGCAAATGAAGTTCCTGAGGGCTTTACTCCCACTGGCTTTACTCCATTCATGTCATCACGGTCAACTGTACTTTGAGGAGGCAGCTGTTTCCTAGTCACATTTCAAAAGGTAGCATATGATGAAGAGTTCAGTGGTACTAAAGAAAGAAGTTCAAGGTTCACTGAAGGCATTGACAAAGAACAAGTCTCCAGAAATTGAAGGAATACCAACTGAAATCTTTCAACAAACTGATGCAGCACTGGAGGCACTTACTCATGTGTGCCAAGAAATTTGGAAGGCAGCAATCTGGCCAACCGATTGGAGGAGATCCATATTTGTTCCCATTCCAAAGACAGGTTACACAACTGATTGCAGAAATCATTGGACAATGTCATTAATATCACACGCAAGTAAATTTTTGCTTAAGATAATTTAAAAATGGCTGCAACAGTACATTGACAGAGAACTGCCAGAGGCTTAAACCAGATTCAGGCAAGGACATAAAACGAGGGATATCATTGCTGAGGTCTGATGGATTTTAACAGACAAAAGAGAACAACAAAAAGATGTTTACCTGTGCTTCATTGACTATGCAAAGGCTTTCAATTGTATGAATCATGACAAGCTATGGACAACATTAGTGAAGAGTGAGTTTTCTGGAACACTTAATTGTGATCATGGTGAACCTATGCATAGGCCAAGAGGCAGTTATTCAAATAGAACAAGGAAACACCGAATGGTTTAAAATTAGGAAAGGTATTTGCCTGGGTTGTATCCTTTTACCATACTTATTCGATTTGCATACTGAGCAAATAATCCAAGAAGCTGGATTATATGAATGAAGAAAACCATGGCATCAGGATTGAAGGAAGACTCATTGACAGTCTACCACATGCAGATGATACAACCTTGCTTGCTGAAAGTGAAGAGGGCTTAAAATATTTACTCATGAAGATCAAAGACCACAGCCTTTGGTTTGGGTTGCACCTCAATGTAAGAAAACAAAAATCCTCACCACTGAACCGATAACATCAAGATAAACGGAGAAACTATAGAAATTGTCAAAGACTTCATTTTGCTTGGATCAACCATCAACATTTATGGAAACAGTAGTCAAGAAATCAAACAATGCATTGCTTTAGGAAAATGTGCTGCACAAGACCTCTTTAAAGTGTTCAAAAGCTAAGGTGTCAGTTTGAGAACTAAGGTACGACTGATCCAAGCCATGGTATTTTCAATAACTTCATATGCATGTGAAAGTTAGACAATGAATGAAGAAGACTGTAAAAGAATTGATGCATTTGAATTACAGTGTTCGAGGAGAAAATGAAAAGTATCATGAACTGCCAAAAAACAAACACATTTGTGTTGGAAGAAGTATAGCCAAGATGCTCCTTAGGAGGCAGGATGGCATGACTTCATCTCTCATATTTCAAACATATTATTAGGAGTGGCCAGGCCCTACAGAAGATCATCATGCCTGATAAAGTGGAAGATCAGCGAAAAAGATGAAGACCCCCAACAAGATGGATTGGCACAGTGGCAGCAGCAATGGGTTCAAGTGTGAATGAAGTTGGTGTAAAACCGGGCAGTGTTTCGTTCTGTAGTGCATAGGTTGCTATAAATTGGTATGAACCTATTGGCACCTAACAGCAATATGAGAAGGACGACTGGTGTCAGGATTGGTAAAGAAAGGTAGAGGCATGCCTGAACTCTGTCTGATAGAAAACATCCTTAGATTGATGCTGAGTTTGAATCTCCTTTCCCTTCCTCAAGTGAGAGCAGGTCAGACACTGCCTCCATGTCATTCTTGCAGTAGCCATAACAATAGACTCTAGCATACCAAGAATTGAGAAGATGGCACAGGACTAGGCAATCTTTTGTTCTGTTTCACATGGGGTCTCTGTGAGCTAGAAGCAACTCAGCCGCTCACAACTCACAAAACCTGAAGGTCTTTCAAACCAGGGACACCTTTTTGTTTTTGTATTATTCCCAGTGTGTTATATCTGTTCCACAAAGTAGGAATTTGTTAAATACCTGGAAAATAAATAGAAAGTTAAACATGAGACGTTAAGCACTGCTCCTTTAGAGGGCAATCTCCAAGACTCTACATTTTTAGATTTAACACAGAAGCAGACAACTTAATGTATTTATATAAGACAGGTGTGGCGTTGTAGGATAAGCATTTGAACATAAGGTCACCAGCTGCTCCTTAGAAAACCTCTACAGGGTCTGTGAATGGAACTGACTGGAGGGCACTTAACAGACTGGGTGTTTGGTTAACCAAGACCCAGAAGAAAGACAAAGTTCCGTTCAGCTTTTGATAACTCCATAGGGAGGAATGCACAGGGTGGCTCCAGGTAACTCCTGCTTTGATTAGACTGTGGTGCAGACAGCTGTCCCAGCCGCGGGGACGCGCGCTCTGCGTTGCCATAGAAACGCCCTGGTCTGTGCGGCAGCGCGCGGGGCGGGCTCTCCACCTCCCCGCGACGTCGGCGGCGGTAGCGGTGGCTCACGCCCTCGCGCGCGCCTGGGCGCCTTGGAAGCCTTTCGTTGGGTCTCCGCCCTGGGTCCTTGGCGTACTCGAGGCAAGATGTTGAGGCGTAGCCTGGAGAACCGGTAACAGTCCCGGGGTCCCGCTGCCCAGGGCCCCCCCCCCCCCCCCAACCCCCCCAAGCCCCCACCCCCCCCCCCGCACACACACACACACACGCGAGGGCTCGGGAAGAGGACGTGGAGCCTCTCTCCAGGGCCTCGCCGAATTCCAGCCCTGGCGGAAGGCTGGACCCGCGGCACTTTGGGGCCTACCTCCCCGGCCTAGCAGGAGCCTGGCAGAAGGGAGCCTGAGGCGGGCCAGCTGCCACCCACCCCTGCCCCTCAAACTCTGGCCCCGGCACTGCTGTGGGCCGAGCAGAAACCTGAGGGCAGCCAGCTGCCCGCGCCTAACCGGGCACCCAGGCCGTAACGCGAGCAGCCGGCATCCTGCAGCAGCTTGGCCCGGCCTAGCTTCTTTTTGTCTCTACCCCGCCAGACGTTTAGACCAGACTGGGAATGGGGTCCTGGAAAAGGGAAAGGGACAGATAATCCGCGAAATTGCGGTGAGAATCCCACCCCACTCCTGAGAGATGGTCAGAAAGATGGCTTTTCGTCTTCAAAGCTCCAAAATGCCCCGAGAATGTTTGCATATTAACAGTAACATAACGAAGAAGCTATCTCATCTTTAACAAGAATGTTTTGCTTTTTGTGTCACCTTTTTCTCTAGGGACGCTCAAACCAGACAACTGCAAGATGCTGTCACAAATGTGGAGAAGCATTTTGGAGAGCTATGCCAAATCTTTGCTGCTTATGTGCGGAAAACTGCCAGACTGCGAGACAAAGCAGACCTCCTGGTGAACGAAATCAATGTGTACGCCGCAACAGAGACCCCAAATTTAAAGCAGGGCCTGAAAAACTTTGCTGATGAGTTTGCCAAACTTCAAGATTATCGACAAGCTGAGGTATGGAGTGAGGGCTCAGCATTATTGTAATGAATGAGTGTAGAAGTAATGGATGAACGAACCATCCAGTTCTAGCTAGTTCTAGTTCTAGTTCAAAGGACTTTCCTGTTCTAGCTGCCCAACTGCAGTGGTGAACACACACTGAATGAACAATTCTCATGTCTGTTACACTGTGGGAATCTTTCTGAGATTTCGTTTTCCATTTTCAAACTAAACTTTAAAAGTCTCTTGAATTTCCCTATCATTTGCCAGTTTTTGCCTAAGGGGTGGACATTTACAGTGTTCACATGGAGAAGAAAAGCAGCATGCGTCGTGTGCATGTGAGCATATGTTAAAGTTTGACAAGATGTTGAGAATGGTATGTGAATAAATGATTAAATAGGCAAGATGTTTCCATGCTGGAATTTGAGAAATGTATCGTTGACAAAGAAAGGAGGAAACAGTGATGCAAACTGTAGGACCCTGTTTAGGTTTTCCGAGGAGTGGCTGGTGAGCTTGAACTGCTGACGCTAAGGTTCAAATGACCTTACAGTCCAGTGCATTAATCCACAGCACCACACTACGACTGCAGTCGTTACTGAGACCTTATTTGTGGGTTTGGGCGGATTTTTTTGTTTTGTTTTATTTGTTTGTTTTTGGTGGATGTAATTATTTTCTTCCTAAAAGCCTTTCATTTTCCTTTTTCATATGAATTTTGTATACTTATTTAGGTTTCAAGACACATTAACTTGTCAGAAGTTGCTTGATTAGAATCGCTTTGTGTTTTTTGTTAGGTTTTATTTTTTTGTCCTTTTTAAAACTTAAAGCAGTTATCACAATTATCAAAAAGAAGTAAAATGAAGGTAATAATCTTTGAACCTACAATTGCTATTCATACAGAACTAGACTAGACACTAGAGGAACTCAGAAATGTGCAAAGTAATTATTTACTTGTAGAGAGGTATTTCTTTGGAAAATGTTGAGTTCTTGTCATATGACATTTCCTTGTAATAAGCTGCTATACATGCTAGCTAGACGTTGTTGTTGTTGTTGTTAAGTGCCGTCGAGTCGGTTCCGACCCATAGCGACCCTGTACAGGGTTTCCGAGGATTTTAAATGTTTCAAAAATCATTGATATTCAAATAGTCCTAACAGCCCACTTTAGCCAAGATTTTCAGTGCCCTTTTCTAGAAAATCTTTATGCTATTTATCAAATAGCAAAGTGAATTGATTTACATGTGTTCTCCTTTTATTCCCTTGCTTACCAAATGGTGGAGGTGCTAATGAACAATGAAATGAACAAAAGGTAGGCAACAAAAAGGAGAACAGAACAGATAATCCTTATACTGAATAATCAGTGTTTGGATTATTCGAAATGGTATAAACTAACCTACCCTGAATAATCAATGGTTTAGATTCTAGGATTCCTAGTATTTAAAAATGATTGGTGGGGACTTGATTATTTTTTTTCAGTTTCTTAAAATTCTTGACAGTCAATTTGTAATATATTCACTGGTTATATGAACATGTATCATCCCTCCAAAAAAGCCTTTGACCTGCTGTAAAAATAGTTCATGTTCATACTAAACAATTGTCTGTCAGCCTGTAATATCTATCATGAGAAAAAAATTTTATGTTCATTTTTTTATGTGATAAACTTTTCTCATACTACAAACATGGTTAATTTTTTTTCTAATCTGTTTCTTCAGTGCCTTCTACTAGTGCTATTAGTGAGATAAATTTATACTCAATGCAATAAGAACTGTAATGTTTAAGAAAAAGTGTTTAATTCTCAAAAAAAAAAAAAGGAATCAGTGTGTGCTACCCAACGAAATGAGATTAACCACACAGTTACAGTACAAAAACAGAGACCATTTATCTTATTCTGTGACCAAACCAAAATCCATGCCATTGAGTCACTTCCTACTCATAGTGACCCTCTATGTGGTTTTAGAGACTAAGTCTTTACTGAAGCAGAGAGCTCCATTTTTCCCCCTTGGAGCTGCTGGTGACTTTGAGCCACCGACAGTTAGCAGCCCAATGCCCAACCCACAGTGCTACCAGGCACTTTACTCTCTAGGCTTTGCTAATTCACAAATGACTTCTTAGAAAAACTGCTGCTGAAAACAGTGTTTCCTAGACTGTTTTGCTTTTGAGCAGCTTTAAATATTTCTCATATGCTGCATCTTTCAGCTTTAATTGAACTATTGTTCTTCAAAAATAGTGTATATAAAGTATCCATAACTGAAAAATAGCTGAATTAAAATGTGTTGTTGTTGTTAAGTGCCATTGAGTCAGTACCAACTCATAGCGACCCTGTGCACAAAAGAAAGAAACACTGTCCGATCCTGGGCCAGCCTCACAGTTGTTCCCATACTTGAGCCCATTGATGCTGCCACTTTGCCACTCCATCTCGCTAGGGGTCTTCCTCATTTTCTCTGACCTCCACTTATCAAACATGATATCCTTCTCCAGTGATTGGTCCCTCCTGACAATATGTCTAAAGTATGAGAGACGAAGTTTGGCCATCCTGGCCTCCAAGGAGCACTCTGGCTGCACTTCTTCCAACACAGATCTGTTGGTTCTTTTGGCAGCCCATGGCACTTTCAATATTCTCCTCCAACACAGTAACTCAAAAACATCAATTCTTCTATGGTCTTCCTTATTCACTGTCCAGCTTTCGCATACATATGAGGTTATTAAAAACACCATGGCTTGGGTCAGGAACACCTTAGTCCTCAACCTGACATCTTTGCTCTTCAACACTTTAAAAAGGTCTTGTGCAGCCGATTTGCCTAATGCAATACATCATTTGATTTCTTGACTTAAAACTTGCCCCCAAAGCTCTACTACTTTAAGGTTGAAAAGTCATACAGAGATGATGGTTTTGCAGGGCTCCTTGAAAACCAAAACATTTTCTGGTCACTTTTCACTGTTTTTATATAGACTAAGAACTGGACTGCTAGTTACAGGTTGGCATTGCAAACCTATCAGATGCTCCTCAGAAACCTTATAAAGGGTTACTATGAGTCAGTTCCAACTTGACGACACTTAACAACAACAGCCATTTTTAATGTGCATAAGTTTAGAATTTTAGGTTTGTCCATTTCTGGTGATAACTTTTATAAGGGGGCTTTACAAAGTGTATGGAAAAAGTACCTTATCTTTCAATTCTATTTTTCCATGTACTTTTGACGGTCCCTTGTAGCATTTTAACTTACAAATTTTTAAATATTTATCTGTATAGTAATTAAGCTCAGGTTAAACATCACAAGTTTTATTTCAGAATTAATAGTTTTATATTGCTGTTTTTTTCTCAGTTATATTATTTTGTAATAATTTTCAATAGGTTGAAAGACTTGAAGCCAAAGTAGTTGAACCTTTGAAAGCTTATGGAACCATTGTCAAAATGAAGCGGGTACGTAGATCTTATTTATTAAGTATTCAGGGGAAATGCCTGAGCTTCTATTAATTGTCCTTTTAATAAAAAGTACAAAGCAGTGTTTACTCATTCTTTTTACACACTCTGAAAAAATTATTTCTTAGAACTCTGAAAATAATGAAATCTTTTTAGTGGCTTTATACGTATACTACTGTAGTAGCATAAGACATTTTGTTTATTACAGAAATTTTAAGATTTTTAATATTTGCAGTCATGAAGAATATATGAGCAGAAACTACTTTCCTAACTGAATGTAAGTTTTTATTTTTGTTTTAAAGTAGGTGATAACATTTTTACTTTAAAAATGAGTGTAACAACATTCTGTATTTAAGTCAACCTTCTTGGGGTATAATTGGCATAAGATAACATTCTCCCATTTTAAGTGTTTATGAAGTTTTCACAAAAGTGTGTGTATCCTTGTAACCGCAATATTATGTGTGTGTTTATGTATTATAATTTTGCATTCCAGTTATCTTTTTTGTCTCTCATTGAAAGGACTGAAAGAAACACATACACTTATATATGCGCTGTGGTAATTGTTAGGTACTGCTGAGTTGGTTCCAGTTCATAGAGACTAATATACAGCAAATCAAAACACTGCCTATTCCTTTGCCATCCTTGTTGTTGTGTTTGAGCCTATGGTTGTAGCCACTGGGTCCGTCCATCTCAGTGAGAGTCCTTTTGATTTTTTGCTGACCGTCTACTTCACCAAGCATGATGTCATTCTCTAGGGACTGGATCCTCCTAATCACACTTGCAAAGTATGTGAGATGAAGTCTCCCGTGTAAATACACACTCATTATGCAGTATTTGTAATTCCTATAGTGATGTTCCCGGGATCAGCAAAGCAGGTTTCTCCTATTCTTAAAACAGAGTATGTATACTGTACTTCTTCAATTCAAAATTTCTATTAACAAGAAATGCGTATCTGCAGGATGACCTCAAAGCAACATTAACAGCAAGGAATCGAGAAGCTAAGCAGTTAACCCAGTTAGAAAGGACACGCCAGCGAAACCCATCGGATCGGCATGTTATTGTATCCTTTGAATTTTGGTCTTTAAAAAATGTTTTGTAAGGTATGCCATATAAAATTCCATAAATCTGGGGATTATGCATTTCTATTTTTAAATATGTGGAGAGTTTGATTATAAAGGTTAGAAGCACATGCATGTAGTAATTCTCACTATAGCAATTAGTTAATTTTAAAGATTCAGTTCCTTATTTCCCACAATAGACATGCCTCAACAATGGGAGAGAAAAAAATTATAAATGCAGATGCTTTTATAAAGAGTACATTCAAAACTCTTTGAGTTTCCTTCCACATAGTAATATAAAATTAAATATTAATTATAAAATTAAAAGTATATAATTAAGTCATATAACAATGCCCTCTGCTCTACTTTTGAAAAAAGATAGGTTTTTCCCCCATAAGTCCTTTAAAAAAAAAAAAAAAAAACTATTTGAAGCCACATTTATGGCTTTTAGCAAAAGCCCCTCAGGAGAGTTAAGAGTAAAATTGAGGTCCCTAGCTGGACACTAAGGCATGATATAGAATGCAGTGGCTAATTATGCTTATAAGGTTCTTCTATGAAGTATGACTGTTTCTTCAAATAGAATGTACCTTAGTCCCGGCTAAATAAAAGATTAGCAAGTAGTGCCTGGCTAGTTGTCAGCAACTGGGGTAGGTGGGACTGTATAGAAAACAATAACTTATCCCTGCTGCCTCTTTTTCCCACTTCTTATATGTGTCTCCTTCCTACTTCTTTAAGGTTGTCACTGCCCACTTCAGCCAGGAATCACATGAGGAGTGGCTCTTTGGGGGCATTTGAGGTTCCAGAACACCTCCATTCCTGAGGGGAGTCCCTTGAGCAGTGATTTGGGGTACGCCAGTTGCCTGGTCCTTCTTCCTTTGGACCAAAGGTACTTTAGCCCAACCTTATACTAAACAAAAGTGGGCATCCTTAGGACTGGGACTGTCAGTTGGAGGCTGGGGTAGGAAGATCTATATGGAAGTTAAGACTTAAGATCTTCAAACCATAGATTATAGAGTCTATGTTTTTCTAAAAGTCAAACGAGCCAGTGAGTGCTAGAAAATGCATAACTGACAAGGCCAAGGAATGATCCTAGTCGTCTGAGTATTAAGCCAGAGATCAAAACACTCTGTGGGGGAAGGAACATGAAGGCAGGGAAAGTGTAATATCTAGAACCCCGAAGAGTTGGTAAGATTGTATCAGGGATGTTAGTATTGGCACTCAGTCTGGAAATGATTCTAGTCTATAACAGATTTTCCTGACTTAGATGCCATTCTGTAAACCCTGCTTTGGAAAACGTAATCTGAGTATAGATGAAGCAAGTCTGTGGGTTGACATGGTGAGAAGTAAATACTACAACTGAATTGGTTATTGCTGCACACACACAGCTAACTAGCAAAGAGCTATGTGTGGCTCCCACAGATTTTGACAATCTAACCTGAGACTAGAAAATAAAGGACAATCTGCATATAAATTATATTCAATCATTATGTCATTGAATTTTACCTGGATGTTGGTTGCTGTTAAGTGCTATTGAGTCAGTTCTAACTCATAGCGATCCTGTATTGGATTTCCAAGGAGTAGTTACAGCGTTTGGACCACCAGCCTTTTGGTTCAGCCTGACCTTGTGGTGTAGTGCTTATCCTACTGCGCCACACTAACTTTAGACCCTTAAAAATCATGTCACCCTTTGTTCAAAGGAAGTATATGCAAGAGCAATATGTAAAATAAAATGGAGTCCTTTTGGTAGAAAATACTAATATTCTTAATCATAGTTGTTGTTGTTAAGTGCCATTGAGTCAATTCCAACTCATAGCGATCCTGTATAGGGTTTCCAAGGAGCAGCTGGTGAACTTGAACCGCCAACCTTGCAGTTCAAACGGCTTTGCAGTCAGGCACATTAACCCACTGCACCACACCAGGACTCCTTAACCCTTGTATCTTAATCAAAATCATTTCCTACTCACATTGCTATATTTTAGGATTTTAAAGAATTGTCGAAAGGAAGAAATATTAGATATGCTTCAAGCTCACCAGCAGCTCCTCGGAAACCGTATTCAGGGTTACTGTGGGTTGGAACCGACTCAGTGGCACTTCACAACAACATATTCTCTTTACTTTGCTAAAAAATATCTGTATAACAGTAGTTGAGTTGCTTTGCTTCAGTAAATAGATTTGAGACTTTTAAAAATGAATAGTATTTTCTGGAAGGTGATAGAAGATTAAGGAATAGCTGTCTCAGATATTGCTTCTTCTTCCCTATTCTTTTTCCTAGTTTAACCAATTCTACCTCCTCTTCCTAAATATAAAATAAAAATACCAATAAATGGGGAGAAAGACCACAATTAAAGGAATTCATTGTAAGAATTGCATTGCTTGCATGTAATAAAGTATTAAGAATAAAGTGTATAAAAAACTATTAAGAAATTAATCAACTTGAATATTCTCATTAGCAAAAGGTTAACAGGCATCAAATAACATCATATTAAATGTTCTAAAAAATTCTCTTTTAATTTTCGATTTCCTGTGATGAGAGTAATACTTTGGGATTTCAAAGACTCCCGAGCCCAATAATATATAAAGCATTGCTTTTCATTACTGATAATAAAAGCTATAAGCTTCCCAAACTAAAATAATTGCTTGTTTTTTTTAATTAAAAGCTTGTACTGTGTTGTTTTTTTAAAAAAAAAAACTTTACACCCAACATGACAAATAGATACATAAATATTTTACCACTTTTTTAGTGTATAAATGTTTAGTATCTTGAAATTATATATCTGAGTTAACCTGCTTGCAAAAATATTAATAATACATAATCAAAATATAACCTAATGGAAAGAGTACATCAGACTAAGCGATTTTAATGTGTTGACAGAAGTGTTGTGTGCTATTTGAAATGTATTTTTCCTTTATGAAAAATTCAGTCGCAGGTGGGTAATAAAGTGGAGTGACAAGAGATGGAGCCTTATAGTAAATCCCTTTTACTTATTTCAATTTGTGTATTTTCTTGAAAAAGAAATTCAGGGCTAGTTGTCAGAATATTAGAATCTTAAATGTTACAAAACTTTGATAACTACTGTAAAAATTTCCCCATGATTAAATATTAAGTGATGATTTATGATACTTTCAAATAAATAAAATATAGGGAACAAAAGTTTATTAAGAATAATTTAATCAAATAATTGGAGTCTTTTTTTTTTTAAGAATCTGCTTAACCATTTTAAATGTTTGGGAGAGAACATTTTAAGCGAGAGCCATGATGAAGTTGGCAGTGTTCCACACTGGGATACTGTGACCACAGCTACTAGTGGCTGTTGTTGAGCTCTTGAAATACAATGAGAGTAACTGAGAAAACTTTTTTTTTTAACCTAATTGAAATTGAAATACCCACAGGTAGCTACTAGGCACAATATTGTATGACACAGGTGTTGATAGTATGTTGTTGTTAAGTGCCGTGAAGTTGGTTCCGACACATAGCAACTCTGTGTAGGGTTTCCGATGAGCAGTTGATGGGTTTGAACTGCCGACCTTGTGGTTTGTAGTCCAGTGCTTATCCCACAGTGCCACACCAAGAATTCATAGATAGTATGAGTACTTGTCATTAGAGTTTATGAAGCAAAGCATTAGATTTACCATCTAATTTTTTACTCATGTGTATTTCTGTGATAAGCATAAATCAAAACAGTGTGGTATTGTTAGCTGTTAAGAAATACTAGCAGTTAAAACTGTCATGTGGAAGTAAAAGTATGGAGTCCTGATGTGGTGCTGTGGGTTAATACACTGGACTGCAGTCACTTTGAACCGCAAAATTGGTAGTTCAAGCTCACCAGCTGCTCTTCGAAAACTGTATATAGGTCACAATAGGTTGGAACTGACTCTACAGCACTTTACAATAACAAATAAAAGTAAGCGAGTTAGTAAAACTAGGAGACTTCAGTTACCCATATACTTTCTAGTCCCAAATATCTCAGTGTTGCAATGGTATAAAAATCATAGACGCTTAGTTGTGGGACTTTTCATAGCCTTTGGTATTTCTGCACTCTCCTTTGTACTTTACAAAGATGGTATCATTTAATCCATTCAGAAATCCTATATAATATCAAACCAAAACCAAACCCACTGCTGTCTAGTTAATTCCAGCTCCTAAAGTAGAATTTCTCCCTGGGTCATATGAGACTAAATCTTTACAACAGTGGACAGTCTCTGACAGCTTCAGTTTTCTCGCTTGGAGTCCCTGCTGGGTTCAGACTGCTGACCTTGAAGTTAGCAGCTCAACACTGTACCACCAGGGCTCCTTCCTGAGATAAGCAGTACTTTATTTTACTGATTAAGAGACAGAGTTTGAGAGAATTTAAAATACTTGTTAAGTAAACATTCATCTAAAACACAATAAGATATATTTTTTTAAAAGCTTAAAACTAAGTCACCAGTCCTTTTTATCTTTCTGGGGATAAGGGCCTAAAAGAGAAAAGAACAAGAAAAGGGCTAGTAGATAGGTGGCACAGACAGTGATGTTGGTGAAAACAATTTGAAAAATCGTTCAAGGCTGAAATAGGAAAAAAATGGTTTTATAAAAGGAGAAGTTTTTCATGTTTGTTTCTGAGATCATAAATCATGTAACTTAATAACTAATTAAGTTATTTATTCTGCATGTTCTTTTAAACATAATCACTATATGTAGAAAAATTAAAATATAATGTTTAACAACTACCATCGTAGGCCAGAAAACCAATACTGCAGTGATAGATAGCATTTCCTAATAGTGACAATTAAATGGATTCTGATTATATATATATATATATATATATATTTTTTTTTTTTTTTTTTTTTTTTTTTTTTTTTTTTTTTTTTGGTATCTTCGATTGGGGAAACTTTTGCAGGCAGAAACTGAATTGCAGAGAGCCACAATGGATGCTACCCGAACCACACGTCATCTGGAAGAAACGATTGACAACTTTGAAAAACAGAAAATAAAGGATATAAAGGTAAGAATGCCACTGTTAAGGTTTAAAAATATATGTGTTTCTAACTTTATTTAAGACTGAATTTTTTTTTAATTACTTTGAATTTTTAGCACATAAGTAGCTTTGTGAAAAAGGTACTATAAATCAAAATATAACAAGTGTTAACTTTTCTAATAGAAACAATGGTATATCAAAGGGTTCCATTTCTAACCAGAGTCTACATATTCAATTTTTCTCATAAGTATTATTTAGTTTAGAGGAACTAATATTATGTTTTTAGGTATCAGGCTGTTTACATAAATCATTTTTTAATCTTCAAACATACCTTAGAAGAATTAGGTGGTGTTGTCTATATACTATAAGGAGTCTTGATGGGGTGCTGTAAGGATAAACACTGGACCACAAGGTCAGTTTGAATTTCACAGTCTGCAGTTCAAATTCACTAGCTGCACCTCAGAAACCCTACAAAGGGTCACAGTGCGTTAGAACTTACTCAAAGGCACTAAACAACAATACACTATAAATTAAAATTTTTTATCTCAAAAACATGAAGAACTTTTTATAGCAAGGAGGGGAGTGATTAACTTTTCAGTCTAGGAGCGGAGGTCCCTAGGACCATCATGGGAGAAGAGCAGAGAGCGGGACCCTACCCAGAGAAGCAGTGATGCCTGAAATGGAGGCAGAGATGATGACGTGGAGTGATGGAGCAGCTGGAGACTTTAGATCCAGAGAGGGAGAGTGACTGTGTGCTGAAGACCTGGGGGGTATGGGGGAAGGATTGCAGGGTATCCCCTTTGGTTGGTTGATGATGCATGGAGGGGATTGTAACCATGGCAGTGAGACGATATACGATACAATGAATGTAAAACTAATGTTCTCCCATGTACACTATCACATAATTCACAATAAAACATTTAAGAAAAAAAAATACTAAGTAACAAAAATAAATAAAATTTAAAAAACATGAAGAGCTTACCCAAAGTATTATAGCCAAAAATCTAAGATATAAATTAATTATGTAGTTTTCAAAATATGTGCTTTCCACTATACTACTAGTGTTCTTGCATAATGCTTTCTAATTATTACATATTAAATAAATGGTAAGAGTAACCAACCACATAAACTTGTATTCACATAAACATGGTGTTTTATTCAACAAAATCATAAGAATTGCCTTGTTTCAGTGTAACAAATCAGTAAAATTTAAACTTTCTTTAGGATCATGGAATTCAGATGATCTTCAGTGACATTTTCATTAGCATCTGGAAAAGATTTGTCAGATTGCTTGTGACATTACTATATCCTTTAAAACAACTTATGTAAGGATAGCTCTTTGGCCCACAAATTACCCTGTTGCAAGCTTTAAAAATAGTTTTTATCCCATCCAGAACCGACTGAGGTAGGCAATTTCCATGAGTAGACCAGCCTGGCATGGCTAGAAGAACAGAAGATATTTCGTGAAAGACTGGCAGGAAAAATCTGAAAAAATAACGACAGTCTGATTGATTACTAAAAGAACAAGTAAGCTGTTTGCCCGAGAGCCATCAAGGCAAGTGATCGGGACCCCTCAGAGCAAACCCCCTTCTAAGACTGAGACTCAAGGGGAATACATGAGCAGGCATGTGGTCTGGATGGTGACCACATTGGTCACCAATAAAGGAAGGAGGGGTAAAATAAACAGCAATGAAGTTATGAGCTAAGCCCGACCACATTCAGTAGACTCCCATGAATCTGGGTGGAGACCTGGATGGCCAACAGTTACAGCAAGACCCAGGGATTCCTGAGCCCAGAGGCAGTGACATGGCCACAGAGGACAAGAGTGGAGAGTGAAGCATCCAGCTGATATGAAGTGAGGGGAGAGGCATAAGAACACCCATACTTGCAGATAGTACCCACTTGACCTGGCTTCAAAGGCTAGATGATCGGAACTTGACTAAAAGAAGAAAGAAAAGGGGGAAAAAAAGAGTAACCTGCTACAATTTGATGACATTTACCTAGCGTAGTGGTTACGAATCGGGCTGCAAACCTTAAGGTCAGCGGTTCGAAACTACCAGCTGCTCCGCGGGAGAAAGATGAGGCTTTCTACTCCCGTAAAAATTTACACCCTTGGAAACCCTATACAGGGTCGCTATGGGTCAGAACCGACTCGATGGCACTTAACAACAACAATGGACATAGTAGCTCAAAAAAGGGAACAAATCTTTACAGTGAGGATCACTCCCATCCACTCGGTACACAGGGTTGACAAGGGTGGGCAACATAGACATTGGCTACCCAAAATAGGGGAGCCAGTAAAAGCAAGAAGTGACTGGCTTACAAGCTTTCAAGAGGGAGCCTAGTTCCAGATGGGGTGGGAGAAGGTAGAATCACCACTGAATGATTTCAAATTCTTTGGGACCAGGCTGGCGAAAGGAAGCGGGAATAAGACTCATGTGATACAATAGTGAATTGCCATTAGGTCTGACTGTGAGGATAGGAAATATAGCGGTACATGTTTTTTGGCAAAAGGAGGAGAGTGATTGATTTTGCAGCCCAGGAGCAGAGGTCCCTGGGACCATCAAGTGAGAAGAACAGAGAGCGGGATCCTACCCAGAAAGGCAGTGACGCCAGGGGTGGAGCCAGAGATGATGATGTGGACAGATGGAGCAGCTGGGGACACTGGACTCAGGGTGGGAAAAGGGCTGTGTGATAGAGGCCGGGGGGCGGGCCTGTGTGGTGTACCCTTTGGGGTTATATGATGCATGGAGGGTATTGTAATCATTGCAATGACACGAAATACTATAGGATGAGTGTAAAGCTGATGTTCTCCCTTGTAAACCTCACAATAAAAACTTTAAGAAAAAAAAACAAAAATATAGTCTCGAAGAGTGGCCTTTATGCCATGGTTTCTATATATGAATAAGAAAAAACTTGCCACGGGGGAGAGGAAGAAGAACCAAACATTTTAACCCAACATCTCCAACAATTAGAAAAAGAGCAGTAATTTAAGTCTACAGCCACCAAAAGAAAAGAAATAATAAAGATTAGAGGAGAAACAAATGAAAAGGAAAAGAGAAAAACAATAGAAAGAATCAACAAGGCAAAAAGTTGGTTCTTTGGAAAGATCAATAAAATTGGCAAAACACTGGCAAACCTAACAGAAAAGGAGAAGATGAAAATAACAGAAAAAATAAACGAAATGAGTGCTATCACAACAGAATACTGTAAAGAATTGTACTCGCCGACAAATTTAAAAATCTAGAAGAAATGGACAAATTTCTAGAAATACAGTTAAGTTAACAGACTGAGTAGAAACAGACCTATAGCAAAAGAAGAAATTGATCATGTCAAGGAAAAAAAAAATAGTTTTCATCATTTTGCTATCAACAAAGAAAACTGTCTGCTTTTGAGCAATGTTCATTTAAATAGGCAACCTCTTGCCACAATTCTAACATCTCTCTCTAAAATCCATGAAAACAACGTTCACTGGTACTTTTTCTTTGAATTTCCTACCGACTTTATGATAGCAGATTGCTCTTCACAGAAGAACATCTCAGGAGACTGCCCTGAAACAAACATTTCTTGCCCACACTCTCCGAGCTTGGAGAGTGTGGGCAAGAAATAGTTTACAGTTCTTGACAATTTCTGTTAATGTAAGAGAAAGAGAAGAGAAATAAGATAAACTATAACTTGAAGAATGAAAATGGAGACTTTAGCTATACCTGGTGACATCACCACAGAAGGTCTTTCGTGAGGGAATTTGACCCCTCACTTAACCTCTCTATTCTCATGCTTGCTACATTTTCTTGTCTTTTTCATATGGTACTTTGTCTCTACTTTCTAATCTTTTAGGCTCACTTTTGTGCATGCTGGCTACCTCTGTACACCAAACCCACTGCCTTGAGTCAATTCTGACTCATAGAAATAGGACAGAGTAGAACTGTCCCCTAGGTTTTCATTGTTGTTGTTGTTAAGTGCCATCGAGTCGGTTCCGACCCATAGCAACCCTGTACAGGGTTTCCGAGGGTGTAAATCTTTACGGGAGTAGAAAG